AAGTAGCTGGGTTGGAGGGTGGAGTCTATGGCACTGTAACCTGTCTGAGGTCCCCCTCTACCCAGGCCGCTTTTAAAACATGATCCTGGGACCTACACACCACCAGACATTCCAACTGCCTTGCGGGGGGGGGGGGGGATGGGGGGGGGAATGGGGGGAAGTCCAATCAGCTTCCATATGCAAAAGACCTTGAAGGTTCCATATGCAACTGACATTCCAACTGCCTTGCGGGGAGGGGGGTGAGTTTGAGGTGTGGAATGCAGTGAAGTCCAATCAGCTTCCATATGCAAAAGACCTTGAAACGCTGGGCGGGACTGCACAAAGCAGCCAGTCAACCCAGCCAGCGTCTTCTGACTGACAGTTCAAGCGTCCATACACTAAAGGAGTGCATTTTAGAACTTTGGCACCCACTACTCAATTATATATAAGGAGAGATAGATTATAAATTATGTTTTGTGTTAGTTGATATATGTATAGTTGAATTTATAATATAAGGGGTAATTAGGGAAAGTTAGGGATAAGGGTAGATAGAAAGAGTTGGTGAGTTATAATAATGTTTGGTGGTACATGTTGATAATTAAAAGGAAGGAAACAATAGTGAAAGCATTAAATAGGTAAGAATTAAACAAGGGAGTGAGTAGCTAAGAGAGGTTTGTCTTGGGAGATGGAAGTAGTTATAAGACATCTAAATTCTAAAGGGTACTATTAGTAAAAATGTGTTTAACTTTGGAATGGTTGATCTGTTGAATAGTGAAAAGTAAATAGTTTCGTTTTTCTTCTCTCTTTGTTGCTATATGGAGATATTGTGGAGAACAACACTGACCTCTGAAAATTAATTTATAAGATCAATGTGAAAATGTTTTTTAAAATAGCGCAATTAAAAACAGGTATTGTTAAGTCAGTATAAGAAATGTTAATAGAAGAGTGTACTCAAATGTGGAATTCTTTAAATACTTTGGTATAGGAGTTAGGTATTATGATGTAAGATCTGACAGCTAATGTTTTGGCTTGAGTGTATTATGATACAAAATTCAATTCATGTATATGTTGTTGTCTAAGTTTGTGTTTATATGTTTGTCTTATTATGCTTAAAAATTTAATAAATATATTGTAAAAAAGAAAAAAGAAAAGGGATGGAGGAAATGTCAGGGGAAGGGGAAATGAGATACCCCCACAAGTCTTTCCAAGCCACCCATTTGTAAAATATCTAAAACAATAGTCACCACAAAGAACACTGTACTTCTGAAACAACCAAGTCTATGCATCCTCCTTGTCTATTACTGTGATACTGTGGCACAAAACCACCTCTTAAATTAGGATTAATACTCTACAAATTTCGTTTTTAAATACCTGGCATCTAATTCAAGAACTCCAAATTAAATCCCAAATCATCCTTCATTGTACAGTGCAATATGTGATTGTAAATCACCTTTTCTGCTTCGTCATTGATTGATTCAGCAATCTAGAAGTAGTACCTCTAAAAGTGTTTTTCTGTTTTTCACATGTGCACACCAATAGTCGGAGAGGGGCTGAAAAGCCACTTAAATAGTATAGTATGAATTCAACCTAAAGCTGTTAGGTGGGAATTGCTTACCATGGTGCATAAATCCATTGTCACAAAGTGCTGTTCCAAAGATCATTGCTTCTTCTCTTGTCCTGCAATCCCCCTATAAATAGCACAAATATCAATACAGACATCATAGGCTGCAATTTAAAATAAAAAAGAAATCACATATTCTTTTTGCAGCATATGTAGAAATTGGATTTCACATAAGTCTCTGCTGTTTTTGAAGCCTAATATACAAAACTGTTGCACTTATGCCAGAATCTGACTGCTAACATTATTGAACCAATAAAATATATTGGTATACCTAATTAGTATATCCTATTTTAAAACCCATACACAGTTGCTCTCCAGTTGTTCAAATGCTCACACATAAATACTGGCTAGTTCTTCAGTGTCATAAAATAACTTACAAAAATAACTTATTAAAACACTTATAACTAAGCCCATGAATGATTTTCCTCAGAATGACTTGCCTGTAGGTTAATAAGTCTAGAGGAATTATTGCCTGTAAATTAGTCACTGCATGCTGGCAGCTTAGGGCTACAAGCGCTGTGGGAAACTGTTTGGTAGGCCAGACACAGACTGTATGCTTTACACTGCTTACCCCAGTCTCAACTAAAACCTGCATCTATGGGCTATTGTTAAAACCAAAGTGTGAAAATATGTTCTATGTCTTGAAGACATATGTTTTTATTTCAATGACACATTCCTGTCTTTCTTTCAATTACACATCCCAGAAAATGCCTTTATTTCAATTTTTGATGTTACCTCAGTTAATTTTTAATACTATTCAATATTTACTGTTCAAAAAATTCAGCAGGCATACTAACTAAAAAGTGGAAAAATTATTTCAGCTAAGGACATATTTTCTAGAAGGTACAAAGTAAATCAAATTAGTTTGGTATGAAACAGGGGGGGGGGACTAAAAAAGCTTTCCACACTCATATAACACTTCTTTAAGAAGAATGGTAAGGTCACAAAATATCCACTGCTGATATATAAAATGGAAAAAGCCCTACATTTATCAAAGCAGTAAGTATACTTCCATTTTCTCTGCTAGTGCACGTCTATCAGAAAACAGTCCTACCTGAGCAATTAGCCAGTCTATCAATTTATTCGCCATCACTACAGATTTGTAGGTCCTTAGATGATAATCTTTATCTCTATTTAGGAAAAAAGACAACCATATTTTGCTCTCAAATACACATATTCAACATTTGTTGAAAACCCCATTTAATATGATCTGTAATTAATATGATCATTATACTCTCCAGAAATTTTAAAAACATTTCTGCTTCTATTAGCTTCTGTAAAGAAATTTCATTACAAATATTAATTGTACGCCAATCATACAAGTGGAGAAACTGCAAGACTTGCAAGGTTGATCTTGCTCCCTTGCCTCCCCCATGCCTTCCTGGCTGCCCCCACCACATTTCTGTCCACCTGCTCACCAGTTCCCCATCCCCCTATCTGCCATTCTGGAGAAAGCAGAGTGTAGGGTGGCAGTGGGCCCCACTCATTCCCTTTTCCTTATCTACCTGCAGCACTTTAGCTCTTGTGACAATGGCAGGTCCCCCTCCTCCTTCTCCCTCAGCAGACTTTGTATCTCCTCTGCTTTGGAAGATGTAAACCCCCGGTTTTTAAAATGTCGGGATTTTTCTGCAGTTGCTGCCTCAGTGACAGAGAGGAACAGGATGACTACCTGTCCCCCTCAACCACTCAAAGAAGAGAGGTGGCAGTGGAGGGGCAGGCCTTGGTATTGGCGGGGCATCAGCACCTTCTATTCCTTCTTCCTTGCCCACCTACCTGCCTACCCATGCACCTGCCAAGGAGAGGCAGTGGTGCGGGTGGCAGTGGCAATCTCCAGCAGTTCCTCTTCCTCTCCCCACACACAGTTAGTTAAAACTGTCTGCACAAATTCAGAAATTTTGCCTATGTTGGGGAGGATTTAACTGATCCTCCATTTTCAGGGAACCAAAAGTCTACAGAAGAATTTCTCCTCTCTGGCCTCATTCTTTGGGTCTATCAGTTACCGTGGGTGCCAAGGGAGTGAGTAGCTAAGAGAGGTTTGTCTTGGGAGATGGAAGTAGTTATAAGACATCTAAATTCTAAAGGGTATTATTAGTAAAAAATGTGTTTAACTTAGGTATGGTTGATCTGTTGAATAGTGGAAAGTAAACAGTTTCGTTTTTCTTCTCTCTTTGTTGCTATATGGAGATATTGTGGAGAACAACACTGACCTCTGAAAATTAATTTATAAGATCAATAAGACAAGAGGGGACCTGCAAAACTTGTGGAGGGGATTCCATCTCTTTTGTTCCTTCCCTCATTGGGGTACCTACTTGTTTCATTCTCCTACAGAGCTGCCATCTGCCTGGCCAATGCAGCTCCAGCTTTGACTCTCCCATTATTTCCCTACCCATCCAAAGAGATCCTTGCAACTTGGAAGGGGACCCCATCTTCACAGGCCAGCTGCTTGCTGGCCAGCCTACTCAGCTGCAGCACTGCCGCTGCTGCCTCCACCTGCCTTGGTGATGTGGCAATAGCGGCAGAAGCACTGTTGTGGAATCCACTCCCTCCCCTACCTGACTATCTACTTAAGTGTTGCAGAGCAGCTCCTGGTTCTCACACAAACAACCTTTATTGTCATAACAAGGTAGGATACAACAAAACACCTGAGCGAGATTTGAGGGGAAAATAAAAAACAGTCTAAAGAAATTCTCCAAAACAAGCGGTGTAGCAGAAACTAAGTACAGTTGGATCTTAACTAAGAAGAGTAGGCACGTAATCTTCCCCTATCTAGCACTTTAACCACTTTTGGTTTCTATCTCTTTTGCTGCTAGGGCCAGGAACTCCGCCACCTGTTCGGTGACTGAGGAGCGTTTGTCGGCTAACAAAGGTTCTATCTGTTTATTTAACATAAGATTGGGGGCTGGGAGAAGTGGTTTAATCAAGTGGCATCGGTGGGGAGTGAGCAACAGGCAATCTAATAGAATATGTTTTATAGAATCAGGTTCTTTGCCACACCTGCACAATCTCTGTTCGTAAGGGATATCCTTGTACCTGCTAGAAACCACGAACAAGGGGAATACATTGAACTTGGCCAACATAAAGGCTCCGCATTGGCAAGGATTAGGTGCTTAGCATAAAGTTTCCCTATAATTGATAGGAGACTAATCGGTCTGTAGTTCTCGATATTGTTAGGATCGCCTTTTTTAAAAATTGGTGTTATTATGGAGTTTAACCATGTTTCTGGAAGGGAGCCAAATTTGTCGATCAAAGTGAACAAATGTGCCAGTGCAGGGGACCACCACTAAGTGTTACTTTTAAGAAGTTCAGCTGGTATGCTGTCAGGGTCTGGGGCTTTATGAGATTTGAGAGAAGAGATTAATTCAAATACTTCTTCTTGTGTAACAGGCGGCCATACTCCTGGTTCTCCCTCCTCATCCGCATTACTGTGTCCTTGGTGCCAGTGGCTTCCATGCCCCCTCCCCTTGACTCCTTGGCTCAGGCTGGGGGGACAGTTCCAGAGGCTCCTTTTCTCAGGCCACTGGACTGCAAAGGAGAGATAGCAGTGCAGGAAGTGTAGGAATGTTGTGTGTGCAAGTGGTGACAACATTCCTCTCTTCCCCCAGGTTTGTAGAAAAATATCTCCTCTCTGAACCTGGCTCTATTAATCTACATGGGGGGCAGAGTAATAACTAGATATATTGATGTAAAATCTGTTTAGTGCCAGTGACTTTCCAGGAGCTGTATTTTTTAAAGAAACCATGACACATGGTCCTGCCCACTAGGGCCTTGTTTGGATAATATTTCCCCTGCATCTCCTTAAGAAGATATTGAGGTGGACATCAGGCTTTCTGTGGCTTAGACACTCCCTTTACTACTACTTGCATTTACTCTTCTCAATCCTGGGTGAGCCACAAAAACCAAACCAAGACCTTGTATTTATTTTAACGATAATCCTACTCGCACTAGCACTTCACACGTTCAGAATGAAGGCAAGAGATTTGGAAAGGGTTTGTTACCCACCCTGAGCCTTGCAATGCAGGGAAGGGAGGGCTAAAAGTCCAATAAAATAAAATAAATAATAAAATCATAAAGCCATTATAAAACAGGTAAAGAAACTGGCATATGTTGGTAAAATATGCTATAATGGAAAAAAATCAGTTTTAAAGTATAAATATGCTGGGAGATGAGCAGTAAACCAGGATAGTTTTCCTAGTGTGTCTGTGCATGAATCTTGTTCTATTTGAACTTTCTATAATTCTCTCTTTTGTAACAACTCCAGTCCATTCTTCATAACTTCATTACCAGTCCACTAACATTTAGCCCGACATAACCTGGGTAACAATTAAAGTCCAATATTCCAAAAAGAAGCTCTGAAATCCAGACTCACCTTATCACCGGAGTAAATAGACTATGCAGACGACAGTACAATCTTACACCCTGTTAGAAATACAGGTAAACTTAACACTTAACATACTCAAGTAAAATCAGCATACATACTGTCAAAAAATCCAAAATACTTATTTAAAAAAGTACTTTGAAATGTTTATTTTGAACATTTTCTTGAACATCTCCTGAGACCTGCCTCAATGCAACTTACAAGAAAAACAATAAAACCATAAAAACTAACCATAAAAACCATAAAAACAATATAGAGTGACTTAAAATCAAAGCAAACCCCGTAGCCACAAAATACACACACACATGCCTACTAGTACACAGGCTTTTCTTGCATACTATTAACAAGACTTTTCAGCTGTCCTGTCACATGAAGCTGCATTTTAGTGAATCAGATAGGGCTTTTTTCTGGGGGAATACACCAGAATGGAGTTCCAGAACCTCTTCAACAAAATTCTTCTTAAAATTTTTAAACATTCATCAGTTTTCAGTATATGGATTGAAAACTTCATTTCCCTCTTGAGAGTTCCGGCACCTCTTTTACAAAAAAAAAAAAAAAAGAGCCCTGATCAGAACATTGATCTTTCAAGGTCTATGCTGTCTGCTCTGACCAGCAGTGGCTCTCTTTCAGACCACCCCCAACTTCATCTATTCAAATGACACAAATCAGATGGTCTACCACTGTCACAGCTCCTCCCACCTTGACACATGCTCCTTCTGAGTTTTCTTCCTGTATTATAGTTTCACACAAGCAAGCTGAATCATGAGTGAGGATTCATGTAGATAGTATTTTTGATGCAACAGCTACTGTACAAGTGTTTTGTTTTCACTCATGCTCACAGAAACTGAAGCCTGCTTTTGCCTGTATCCATTTGTATCTTATCCATTTTCAACAAATTAAATGGAAGTTTCATGATGAAGTGACTGAAAAACTTTAAAGAATAATTTATAATCCAATTGACTTTTAAATGTTTTAGCACCTGAAGAACATTCTTCTAAGATTCTTCTAAAATTCTAAGAACAAGTTCTGAAAGTAAACCCCATTGAATAGACCTAAGTTTGATTCTGAATAGACCTACTTATGGTGGCACTATAAATTCTACAACAGTGCACTGAGAACAAGTAAACTATACCATGTCATACAATTCAAAATGTACAAGTGATAAGAGCTGAATAGGCAAATGGGGGAAGTGGTCACTGCTGAGCCACTGACCAGCAACAAAAGGAGAAAAGGGGTCAGGGGTCATTTCCTGTGGGAGTGCACAGGAGCGGAGCTCCGACAATAAGGAGCCCAGGGAGTGGGCACATGCAACAAGCCCCACCCCCTGCTCCCAGCAGCCCTCAGTCGGGCCATGAGGAGCAAGAGGCAGCCAGATAAGTTGCAAAAATTTATACCCTGAATATCTTTTTGGTCTCTAGGTACTGCTGGACATAAATCCAGCTATTCTGCTACCCTCTGAAAGCAACCAAGGCTGCAGTCCAGGGCTATTTTGGGGCACGAACGCACGGGAACGGAGTTCCAGCTGGCTTCCAAATTGGCCACACCCAGCAGGAACCTATTAGCATAATAGGACACACCCAACAACAGGAACTCATTAGGATTGACTACATTAGGGGTGTGTGGCCTAACATGCAAAGGAGTTCCTGCTACAAAAAAAGCCCTGGGTTTTGACAACAAGGTAAACAGAATAAGAAGCAAAAGGTGGGTGTGGCTGGATGACCACACTTCTGGTAACATGGGGGTGCAGCCTAATATGCTAATGTGTTCCTGCTGTTGGGTGTGGCCTATTATGCTAATGAGTTCCTGCTGGGCTTTTTCTACAAAAAAAGCCCTGCTGCAGTCTAATCTTTAATCTGAATTTCTGTATCTGAAAAATTAATACTAAAACAAAATACTTATACCTTGGAAATTACGTCCTGCATTTCACTTCTTGGGTAATATGTGCCATCATCATAACGAAATCTGTACAACATGTGTTCAGGCTTGAACTGATGCTTATCAGTAACTAAAAAAAGCAAACATAAAACTGAAAAATTCTAACATCAAGGAAAATAGTTCATGACCTCAGCCATTCCAACATATATATCTTCCAAGGGCTTTGAATTTTTCATTCTGGCAGCCTAATAATTTTATATCTTAGTGCATTCTCTGCCAGTATCCCATAATCTCTTCCCATTCAGAATCCATAAGTATTGTATTAAATTGGTATTATTTGTCCCAATATACATTAATTTGCCTTTAATCTTGTATGCTATTCATTTACTGGGTACCTCATAAGGGAAAGATCCTTCTGGATCTCTGACTAAAGAGCTAGTAAGTAGAACAGAGAGAACAGAAGAAGGAAGCAGTAGCAACAGGAAAAATAACTGCATGTAGCATCTGGAGATGTTTAAGTGGGTGGGCTGCAAAAGAGGAAGCAAGAAATTGCATGCTGCCCATCCTTTGTCTATTGCCTTTTCAGAAATTTAGACTATTTATTCATCTCTCCTATTAAAATAAATCAACTGGCTTTATGGTATGAAACACTCTATTGTACTCATAGGAAACTGGCATTTATTAAATTGCATTTGGTATGAGCAGGGCACAACATCTAAAAAGACAGCTGTGCCTAGTAATGAGTGGCTAGAATGTACCCATGACACCAAACTTGCCATGCAGTTCTAAGCAGAGTTATATTAAGGCCAATGAGCTTAAAAGGGTGTAATTCTGTTTAAGACTGCACTGTTAGAAAGGATGCATGGATAATCACTTATATGTATTGCTATTTTCATTTATATCCTGCTTCCTAACGAAGTAAACTGTGCTAAAGTGGCTTAAAATCACAGAACATAAACAACACATATATTGCAAAGAAAACCATTAAGCAGCATAACCCTCAAAATATATAATCATTTTAAAGCATCCATTTAAAAGCAATAACAGCATGTAGCTGTTTCAAATCCTCATGTAATCTCTCCCAAACAACTTTTAGTAGATATTATATACCACTGATGTAAGAAAGAACTTCACTGCACCTCAGAAATTCCTTGCAGCAGTTCCCTGCAAAAAGTTTTGGAACATCCCTTTCAAGATAGGAATAGATCTACTTCATAGGAATACATCCAATTTCCAACCCTTTAAAGGACACCATGACTGAGGACGTCTGATTTCACTGAGAAGTCCAGGAGAATCAGCAAAACTACACTCCCCCAGTAAAGATTATCCACTAATAGACTAAGGTAATTCCAATTCTAAACACCAATTTTTTCAAGTCCGAAAATGTAAAGACAACTGGTTTCATCTAAGACACCCTGGAGCTGATCTACCACCATGTTCTCTGTAACCCTGGTCAAGGATGGCAGAATTGAAATTAGCTAGGGTTGCCAAACCCCCCGGTTTGCCAGGGGTCCCCCTTTTGGGGGGGTTCTACCCGCCCCTGGCCAGATAGCCAGCGGGGGAAGCCCCACCCCCAACACCCACAGCCACCCACCCGTGTTTCCTCCCAATCCTGTGTTTTCTCCCAAGCCTGATCTCCGCTTGAGATCAGGCTTGCAGGGAAATGGCAGCTTCGTGCACTTAAAAGGGAAATGCGGCTGCTCTTAAAAGGGAAACACCAGCTCCTTTAAGTGCAGGGAACTGCCGTTTCTGGAGATCCGGTGTGCGGGCAGGTGGGGGGGCCGCAGACGTCCCCAACGTGACATCATCACGTCGGGGATGCCCCGCCCCCTCCAGAAACGCCCCTAAAGTCCCCAGCTGGGGATGGAAGATGGACTTGGCAACCCTAAAATTAGCTGATAATTCCCAGGGCCTATAGGATTCAAGATGCTTTCAAAAGCTTCTTTTAACAGGCCAAGGGTCACTCCTTTCCCTAAGGAAGCATAACCAGATGGAATTAATCTCCCTCACCAAGATGAAACCAGCTAGGAAGAGCAAAGGTCTAGTGGAAGAACTGCACTGGTCCAAGGGCCTTATTCACATCTCCACACTCCAAAAACACCTGATGAAGAAAGCTGTGTTTCTCGAAAGCTTATGCTACAATAAAGTTTGTTAGTCTTAAAGGTGCTACTGGGCTTTTTACTATTTTTCAAAACCAGAGTAATTGAAGAAAATGTGATAAGAACTCAAACACTTCATATGTCAAATAAAAATTTAAATAATAAAAAAGCACTTCATATGATACACCTAGAGATAATAAGGAACATTAAAGAAGTATATTTGAAATGTTGTATTAAATAAATTACCATGGTGGATAATGCCATTCTCTAACAAAGCCTGGCCAAGATGAACACCTTCTTCAGGTCTGTGAATCTCTCCAATTTCCAGCAGCCAGGATACAAATTCACTAATTAGAAAAAGAAGTTTGAAAGAATACTATTTTTAGAACTTCTAAAAAAATTCTATGAGGTTATTCATGTTTTATCATAAAACAGATAATAATAAGAAGACATTGGATTTATACCCGCCCTTTACTACCCAAAGTAGTCTCAGAGTGGCTTACAAACTCTTTTCCCTTCCCCTCCCCACAACAGACAACCTGTGAGGTAGGTGAGGCTGAGAGAGCTCTTGACAGAAACTGCTCTTTTTTCAAGAACAGTTCTTATCAGAACTACAACTTGCCCAAGGTCATCCAGCCAGGTGCAAATGGAGGAGTGGGGAATCAAGCCCGGTTCTCCCAGATTAGAGTCCGCGCACTTAACCACTACACCAAACTTGATAAAAATGATAATATATTATGAGAAAATGGTAGAATAAGTCGAGTATGTTGTTATAGTTGCTTTTTAAGCTACCATATCGCATATTTATTGTACATACACATGTATTTTAATCAAGGATTCACCTTAATATCTGCAATATTGCCCTCTGTATTATGTTTTTGTAATCATACCTTATCCCCTATTCCTTTTCTTTATTCTGTATTCTCTTAAAAAGTTAAAACAAAATTTACAAAAAAGAAGAAGAAAGAAACGGAACAATGGACACATGGAACAGCCTTATACTAAATCAGACCATTGGTTCATTAGGGTACTGTTGGCTAGTCAGACTGGCAGTGGCTCTCCAGAGTCTCAGGCAAAGTTCTTGCACATCACCAATACCTGATCCTCTGGACTAGAGATTCTGGGAATTGAATACCTTCTGCAAGCCAAGCAGATGTTCTACCACCAAGCCACTCCCCAATGATGGAAGAATTGTGGCAACAGGTGTAGTAGCAGAGCTGTGGTTGCAACAGGACAGAGTTCAGTTTTTAATTTACTATATAGCAATGGATGTCACACATCCAAAAATCAAGGTCCTCTATTTATTTCAGGCCTTGTGACGTAGAGGTGCACATTAAATCTGGCACTCTGAACCTGTATATGGACACACAGTCCATGAGTAGTGTCACTAGAGGCAGTTTCCAATTGTTGTTAAACCATCCCCCTCCTCTATTTATGAGGAGTATTTATCTTGTGGACAGGCACCTGGGACTATCTGGAGAAAGATGAATAAATTCTTAAAATTATGTTCATTTATAGAGATATTTAAAACTTCATTAATCATGACTCTTTTCTCCCCCTTTAGAGTTTCTAGGGTTAAATATAGTCCTTTTCATATATTTATATATTTAATATAAATATAATCCCTTTAAAGTTTCTGGAATTAAATATAATTGAATAAATGTATACAATTGCCTCAAACTTAATATGGTCATTTTGATTTTATGGTTGCACTTGAGAATCTATAAAAGTAATAAGCCCATTTTAAGGTGTCATGAACAAATTCCACTTTATTTGTGATGATAACCCTGATCAATCTCCTCTGTTCCTGTGTAGAGTTATTGAAGACTTTTAGGTTTACCTGCTGTGAAGTTCAAGTTCAGGTGCTTCAACATACTGGAGTTTGTTTCTTACTTACTGTTAAATCCTAGTTTAGACTATTTAGTTGTGGGCAAGAAACTAACTCAATAAAGGTGTCAATAAAAAAAATCAGCAACAATAAAGATAACAAAATATTGTTAAATGTCAAATAGAAGTCTAAAGGTTTAAAACTTAGTATAAAAACTGTCAAATATCAGCAGCTGAAATAATTTAATATAGTAGTTAAGATGTTTTAAAATAAAGGTGTCATAATAATCAATAGTTGAAATAAGGTTCAAGTGAAATAAGAATGGTGCATACCTCCCTAGGAAACACTTGGGAAAGGTAGTTAATTTTCTCTTTCTGTCCTTTATCAGGTTCCCTTGCCTGCACATCATTTTGTAAAGTTTCTCTCCTTGTTCAGAGATCATTGCCCAAGTATCTTGTTCCATGCCTAGTTTTAGACCTGCCGAACAAAATGAAAACATAATTTTAAAAGTATTTCCAGGAAATGGTACCTATCATTTTACTGACAAAGTGATCAAAGACATCTTGGGTGTATTAAATAATATCTAAGTTTCTTTACATTCAAAGGCCTTCATAACAAAAATGAAATAGCTTAAGAATTCAAGTTGGCCTCCTTCCAACAAAGCAATGTGTACATCACATAAACAGAGATGCCGAACAAGTTCTGGTTTAATACCTTATCAGGATCACAGAGGTGGGAAAGAGCTCTGTCTGTAGAGACCTGATGAGGACCTGGTCTATTTGAAGTATTAGTACTCACTTTAAAATCTTATATGTCTTGGGTCCAGAGTTCTTGTGGGATACCAGGCCACAGTCACATGAACACATAGAAATTCAGTTGCGAGGCTTCTGGTTTATGGCGACACACTGGCGGATGCATCTCCTGGACCTCCTGGGGATGTGATCTGCGCACCAGCGAAAAGGAGGGGGAGCGACGGGTCGCTACCCCCCCCAGGAGCCTTGGCAAAAGGCTCCTAGCCATGGGGCTTTTGAGGGGTGGCTTCTTCGCCAGTGTGATGCTGGGGAATTGAGGCGTTCCTCTGCCCCGACGGTCCTGCCGCTGAGTGTCCGTATGGATCTAGAGCCGCTGACCGGGACAAGCGTTGGAGATCAAGCATTTTCAATGTATGCCGAGCAAGGTCGTATGACCAACAATGAACTGTGAGTTGGGTTAAAGTGAAATGAGAATTTATAAAGAAAACTACCCCCTGGGAATGGCGAAAAAAGGGAGCGGGGGAGGGCCCCCTCCCATATGCACGAAGTAAATAACTAAGGGGGGAGCGGAAGAAAAAGCGTTATAATCTGTTTTGAGATACTTACCAAAGTGCGGATAAGCGTGTGGGCATATTTCAGAGACTTTAGCAAGTTTTCATAAAAGTAAACAATCCATAAAGTTAACGAAGAAAAGGGCAGAGAAAGACAAACCTTAAAAATGAAACCAGCTAGAATCTTGAGCTCTCGACCGGAAGAGACCACCGAGCTCTCCAAAATGTTGGCAGAGTCCTTGCGCCCTGTGCTGGACCAGATGACTAACATAGAACAACAGCTGACGAATCTAAACCAGAATCTTGCAACTCAGCAGCTCCAACTGACTGAGACTTTAAAACTAACGGAGCAAATGGCTGAGAAGGTGAAGGAAATGGACGCCAACACCAAAAAAGTCAAGAAAAAGGTGCAAAAGCTGGAAAAGAAACAGGCCTCGGAAGAATCACAACTTTTACAGCTGCAAATGGAAAAAGCAAATTTGGTCCTACGGTTTCAAGGGGTCCCAGAATTAAAAGGTGAGAATCTAAAGCAACTCATGAGTGAAGCATTAGCCCCAGTTACAGATTTGAAAGCGGAGTATCTTGCAAGCGAAATGGACGTGGTCTATAGGTCCTATTCCGTGTACATCAAAAAGACTAATCTGCCTGGGGAAATAGTGGCTAGATTCTCAAAGCCCATTCTATCCTGAAAGCAACTACAGGAGCACCCTTGAAAATCGGGGACAACACCATCAGGATTCTAAAAGACATTCCATTTGAAATAAGACAAAAAAGAAAGGAATATAAAGATTTAATCCTTTTTCTTCAAACAAACAGCATTGTCTGCAGGTGGTTAATTCCAGAAGGAGTCATTTTCAAACTACAAGATAAAAAAGAAAAGATTGACTCTGTTTCCAAAGCACTTGAGTTCCTGAGAATGCAGCTGGGAGAGCCAGCCGAGGTTGAGAAGGAAGAAGAGATGATGACAGCAAATCCAGTGGCGAATTGGACTCGGTGTCTTCCAACGAGGACTCTTTTTCTGATAAGAGGGCGGCTGCCCCCAAGCGTACATATAAATTGAGGATTAGAAAAGATAAGACAAAATCTGAAGTGTGCCTTTAAACTTTAGTTGTATTGTGGGATGTTCTGGGGTTCTCTTAAATGGATAAAACATTGGACAAAAAGATAAAGAATTTAGCATAGCCAACTATGTTCAAAGTAATACTAGCAATTTAAGATTAACATTTATATAAGCTGTTGTTATGATCTCCTATACTTGGGGTTTTAGTTAGTCGTGGTTTTCTTTCCTTTCTCCCTAGATGTAGTTAAAGGTAAAGGTAAAGGTAAAGGTTCCCTTGCTCGAAAGCCAGTCAAGTCCGACTCTAGGGTTGCGGTGCTCATCTCCGTTTCAAAGCCGAAGAGCCAGCGCTGTCCAAAGACGTTTCCATGGTCATGTGGCCGGCATGACTAAACACCAAGGCGCACGGAATGCTGTTACCTTCCCACCGAAGTGGTACCTATTTATCTACTTGCAATTTCTTGCTTTCGAATTGCTAGGTTGGCAGGAGCTGGAACTAGAGATGGGAGCTCACTCCGTCATGCGGCACACTTGGGTCTCGAACTGCTGAACTACCGACCTTCCACAGCCTGCAGTTCAGCGTCTTAACCACTTGAGCCACCGCAGCTTAGTTACCCCTTCCCAATTTTTCATTGTAGTTTGTTTTCATTGTAGTTTGTAGTCTATTAAAAAATGCAATAAAAAATCCCCTTCAGGGGGCTAAAAAGAAAAAAGAAATTCAGTTGCATTGGCTTCCAATTCGTTTCCAGGCTCAATTCTAGGAGTTATTTTTAATCCAAAATAGCCTTAATTTGAAGTGACTGGCTAGAATCCCACAGGAGGACCTTTTAAAATCTCCAAACTGTGGAATTCCCACAGGAGGTAAGATTAGCATAACCTTTAAAGGTCTTCCTTTAAAAATGAAGATTCGCTCACTCTAGAAGCCCTTTGAACTAGATTGAGGTTGCAGTCCCAGATGCACACATGTCTAAGAGTAAAACCCATTGAACTTAGTAGGCAATTCATCTTGGGAGGAAAAGCTACATTTACATGCATACTAAGTAAACGAACAAACATCATCCATGTACTTTTAAATGTTTTCTTGGCATATGGCTTATGGGGTGTTAAACCTGAGCACAGTGCTGAAGACAGTACTTCCTTGCAGGTTGATAGATAATGCATAATGCAGAAGAACTTCAGCAACTACCAGTAGTGAGCCAGGTCCAAGTACCTCCCAGCCTACTTAAGCTAAGCCCTAGGAAGACAGCCTGGATCAACTGGTCCACTGTGTACAAGCTTTGTGCTCCAGTGGCAAGAACCTTGCACCACTTTGAGGGAACCTGACTGGCCCTGAGTACAGGACAGTCATCCCTAGGGTTCCATCCCCCCGATAGGGGTGGAGGTTTACCCACTTTTTTGGGGGGGTCAATCTGCCTCCACTCAGCTGGCCAGTGGGGGAGCCCCACCCCCAAGCAGCCCCATCTACGCCGACGTGCCCAGCGCAATGACATCACCCAGAGGTAACATCATCACACAGGGCATGTTGTGTGTGTGTGTGGGGGTGCTCTAGCATCTGAGAAAAAACTCTATGGTAACCATAGACTCCAGGACAGCAGGCTGGAGCCCCCCACCAGCAATAGGTAGAGAGCTGGCAACCCTAGGCATCCCCCCCCATGGCACCCACAAGAAAACACTATCCAAATGCTTTCTCAGTAGCTGTAGCTGACTGCTGTATTTTGAAAAAATGCATATCCTACCATTAGAGTTTATGGGGAACTTTGTAGTAGTATTAAAGTATTAAAGTATATCTGTGTTGCAGTTGTTTGCTCATTATGTTATGAGTAGTTTTGTAATACAAATTTTTCACTTTAAGTTAATATTAAGGAGAGTTATCTAAATGTACATCACTTAAGGTTCCTGTGAACAGGGTAACTCCTAAATAACATCTGGAAACCTTCACTTGTAGCCACAAGACATTCTGAAACTCATGCCTGCTTTTGCAGGCCAATGAAACAAACAAACTATTCATTATAGCATCATTCCCTTCAGGGCAAATACACATCAGAGATGATTTGCTAGGTATCTTACACTTCCTTTGTTATCTTAGGACTCGTACTGCCCATAAGCAAAAAGAGAGAGATCCTTATCTGCAGAAATACAAAGAAATTATTGCCCGAGTAAGGCATTTTTAGTTAAGTAATCTATACTGACTACTTAGACATTTAAAATGTAAACTGCCCCTCAGAATAAAGGAAAGGAAAGGAAAAAGGAAGTGAAAAGAAAGTGTTTCCCCTTGAACAGAGCAATCAACTATTAAAATTACTGGAGAAACAAACATCCAGGTAATATGTCTGCAATGTAACATATACCGTCCCTTCTCTTTCCATCTACTAATCACCAGAAAACAGCTGTTTGCTATCCTAGGTCAGATAACCATACTTGCTAGGAGATATAAAATAAATTCAGATAACCCTGATATTTTAGGCACACAAAGGAGAACATACCCATCATGTCTACAGATTGCCAAATGTATAGTGACTACACAGCTCATTGTATATTGAAGCTTTTCAAACATCACCATACAATAGGGATCCCAGCCCATAGTGATTTGAAAAGTCTGAAAGGACTGATTTTCATCCTATGTATTGGGTTACTAAGGAAACCAGAAAAACAGCTATAGAACCAAGTTAGCTAATAAAGGCAGGATCAGAAGGACAAATAAAAGGAAATACACTCAAATGGTAGTATCTATTTCTCTTATGCCACAGTAGCTTCTATCCACAAATCCAAAACATCTATATTTTTCTGGAAGACTCAACTGAAGATAGAAAACTAAGAAAAATATTGCCCTCCTCCATGTGACCAAGCTAGATTAGACAGCAGTAGGTTGTTAGCAGATCTCCAACCTTTTTAAACTCAAAGGCAGCCATGGGCAATGGGGCAAATCAGAGCAGGCCTATGGCACTGGCAGGGAAGTTTTATTCCTTTCCCCCAGCACTGTTTATCTCAATTTAAACCACTAACCAAATAACAACTAGGGAAGGGATTAAATGGAACAGAGGGAAAGTTTAAACCCCCACCTCAATCTAGTTAGGTGGTTCCACAGCTACTTAAAAAAAATGGGAGATCCAGTCACAGATTTTCTACCATCTTATCCAAGTTTACCTAAAAGCACGCACACAAATAATGACTAGAAAATTAAACCAGACCACAGAACTGGGAAACCATGCAGATAAATAAATGGTAAATCACATCAAACATTAAAGTTAAACGTTCTCTTGGTTGAATTCCTCTGTACTCAAGTGTTTCTTTGCATGATGAGTATTAATATATTAAGTTGGGCAATACCCACAAAATTTAATTGTAAGGAGGAGCAGTGTGAAAAAATATCCCCTTCCTCCTTTATTTTTTATCAAATAACAATTGGGAATTTCACATTACCCTTTTGAAGCCATTTTTAAGCCATTATTGTACCGTCTTGGAGTAAACCGGTACAGGGCTGCCATTTCACACAGCCTTTCCCCTACCAGTAAGGAGCCGTCTCTGAAGCGGTTTGGCATTTCAGACTGTACCACTTTGTTTTCCCGCCCTTTTTCGCCCGCGCGGGCGATCTCTGTCCTTTTTAAAAAAAAAAAACACATTCATTTTAGAGTGCTGTACCGCTATAGCGCTATAACACAACACCAAAACAGTGACCTCCATTGGAATGCCTGGATTCCACTGGGATACATGAGATTGGTTTGTTTTGTGCTCACAGAGTTCCATTGGGGAAATGTTTCCTCTGAGTGGATGCATGATCTAGAATTTCCATTTATCTTCTGAAATAAAAGTTTGTCCTGTGTTTTGAAATCATAACCCTCAGATTCTCCTGTGTGCTCTTAATTCTGCCTTGATTTGCTAACAATCTAGGGTTCTCTGGTCATTCCTGCCTAAAGTAATGGGGTGGGTGGTTGGGGGGGTGTTATCTGACTAAACCACAGCAAAGGTAGACACATATCAAGGGACATATCACTTACTGACAACCTGCCTATATTGCAGCCGCATTGTTTTAGTGTAGCACTGTTCTGGTGTCCTGTCATGCCCATGTTTGGCCATCTCCAAAGAAATCTTATGGAAATAAATATAATTTATTTGGGATGAATGCAGAGCTTCCTGGATTCTGTCATCCCCCCACAATGCAAGGAGGTCAACAATCTCCTGCTCCTTCCAGGCTACCCCCCTTGTCCCACTTATCCTCCTTCTAGTTGATCAGCAAAATTACTCTAATCAGACAAGCCTACCACTCACCAACTTCAGCCCACAAAAATAAGAGGTTTGCCTCCCTGCCCTTTATACCTGATCCAGCTCTGTGCCAGTCACTTCCCAGCCAATCGCCTCTTGGCATGGATGGATGCACATCAGGCTGCATCAGCAACATCTGTCTCACCAATCACTGATGCCCTGATCTCCCTCCTAAACCTGCTGTCCAATGAGCATCTTCTCCCCAGCTGACAACCTGACAATCCATCACCTTCCCCTGATTCACAGTGGGCATGGAAAGGTTAGCAATAATTGTCACACCAATCACTGATGCCCTGATTTCCCACCAAAGCCTGCTGTCCAATGAGGTACTTGTTTCCAGGTGGCAGATATAGCCACCTCATGTATCCCAGGGGAGTCCAGGCGTTCCAATGGGGTCGCTGTTTCGGTGTTGTGTTATGGCACTATACCGCTATAGCACTCTAAAACAAACATTTAAAAAAAGGGACGGAGATCGCCCACGCGGGCGGAAAAGGGCGGGAAAACAAAGTGGTGCTGGAGGAAGCGCTACAGGGTATTTTACACAGCACTCCATAGCGCTTCAGAAATGGTATAGAAAAGTGAAGACCACTTGGAAGCAGTTTGCAGGTAAAACGGTTCAGAAACGCTTCCCTAACGGGACAGAAGCATTTCTGTCAAAAGTGAAAATATATTCCGGTAGGGAACCATTACTAAAACAGTTAAGTCTGAAATGTCAGACCAGAAACCGTTAGGGAACAGTTCTTGAATTGGAATATATCGGCTGTCTGAAATTCCCCAACTTTTAAGATCACTAGATCTCTGTGTCAGAAAGCCAGCTGAATTCTCTTTTCAGATATACTTGCGTAAACTTTTTGAATTAGTCTGCATTCATGTAAGTAAGCAGATTTTTGGTTAATATCCTGTGAAGCAAACAAAAGAGTGAAAGCATTGTTTTATTCATAGTGAATGAAATGCTGTTCATAACTTTTAGCTATGGTTTTTGAATTTTGCAAACTTATGTTGATGAATCATATGTTACTCTGCTTATAAGTGTCAGTACATCCTGCTTTGTAAAAGAGGAGTCTACAAAGATATTTGGAGGGGGAATAGAAATGTATAGGTTGCCAAAATAAAACATGAGAGGTGTGACAGATACTCCTCCCATCTTGTTTCCTTCAAGGCATCTAGCTATACATTTAGCAGGGCCTTTCTAAACAGTGAGTTGGCTCTTGCAAGCTTCACCCAATTTGACTACTTACTGAAGCCAACTCCCCTGGTGTCTTGTAACAATTTATTCATGAATGTCCTCCAACACCTTTTCAGAGGTCTCAAGAGGCTGCTAGGGGAACAGAGAGGCAGGGAAATCCACCTCTTTAGTGCCTTGTACTCACAGCTTGCAGAATCCAACCCACTAGGTTCTTTGTGCATGAAAAGAACGGCTCTCACACAGTCCAGGTGGGGAATCCATTCCCTTATGCTAAGCAACTATTATCGGGATATCCAGGGGTCATTTCCTGCAGGAGCACACAGGAGCGGAGCTCTGGCAGTAAAGAGCCCAGGGGGCAGGCACATGCAACAAGCCCCACCCCCTGCTCCCCGCCGCCCTCAGTCAGAGCAAGAAGCAGCCAGGTAAGCTGCAGAGCCCCCCCCCGGCCCCCTGGCCCAAAACAGTCCAGGGGCACCTTTAAGACCAGGTTTTATTCAGGTACAAGCTCTCTCTCCTCTGCGAGGACAGATCTGCATGTCCCCCCCCCCCAATAGCTAGCAATTCAAAACAGTCCAGTGGAGCCTGAGTGGTGGGTGTTGCCTTCTGACACACTTCCGGTGATGTCAAGGGGTGTGGCATATGCAAATAAGTTATGCTAATGAGTTGTGCTAATGAGCACCTACACCTCTTTTTCTACAAAATGACCCCTGGGGATATCCAAATATCTTTCAGTCTAAATATCCCTGTTCATGGAAAATCCTGATACAAATTGCAACACACATACAGCCCACTGATGGTAAAATGTTAATTGTTCCTCCAGCTAGCACCTCTTTTACTTCTATGACTAGTGTGATGTACATCCAACCACCAACTGATTATTGATACATTTGGTGAGTACGGGCATATTTCAGCACCTCATGAAAATATCAAAGGTATTTTGACAATTTTTTCTTCATTTTGGAGTTTTCTTCATTTTGACAGTAAGCTATCATACCCTCTGCCATACAGCACTGCTACATCATATCTTGAGTCCTTATTCCCATTATTTCTCTACTTGAATGAACAGAGAGGGGAAAACACATTTGTTGAACTGTGATAAAAAAAAAGATTAAGGAAAATCTAACATCAGCCCTCTCTGTAAAGATTCTAAGAGCTGCAGCTCAGACAAGCAGAATAAAGAGTAGGAAAGTATGAATGAAGGCAATAGAGCAAGGAGAATCTTTGAAAAGATACTTAAGTTTCTACATGCCTTCTGACGCTGGGAACAATGGCAAAAAAAGCACACAGCCAAGTTCTTTCCAAGTGTAACATTATCTACTAAGAAAAAAATCCAGTGTAACGTTTGTACTCACCTTTTCTTCTCTCTCTTTCTTTCAGAATAGCTTCCAGCCACTCCTGCTTTTCTTCAGCTGTTTTTGCCATGCACACAAACCATTTGTTCTTTGCAGTATTGTGTATCTTCCAACCGTTTATAACAATATGGCCACTGCTGTGGTAGTCAGCTGGAAAAGAGATAGTAGAAAGACCATAAAAAGTCCACACCAAAGGTCCAACTAGATGTGCCCCGTGGACCCACTATTAGAACCTACCACCATTTTTAAAAGGCAGTCATAGAATCACCTAATACAAATCAGGGCTGTGGCACTAGTGGAGGATGCTAAATCTTCCCATTCATCTTTCTCCCAATCTGAGTCACCAAGAGCTACTGCAAGAAAATAACATATAGGTTTTATCTGTGTGCCTACAGATCCCAGTGCCAAGTACGAGGCTGTGAGAGAAAGGCCTAAACTTCCTTCTTCTATGGTAATGGATTAGATCTGAACCTTGTACTGAGTTGCTTTTAGCCTTTAAAAAAAATCTCATTCAGTGCTGAAATATGCAAGTGTCAGAGGAAGTGCTGTGGGTTGATTTGCCTGGCCCCAGCTTGCTTTAAATGAGGCACAAGGCGCAATCGGCTAAGGGCAAAGCAGAGTAGCCAATCAGGTAAGGGTAGCTGGCTGTTTTGCCCTGCTTGCTCCCTTTCACCTTCAGCTTTCTTACTGCAGCTGACTGACCCTCCCTCCCTAGTGGCACCATGTGATTAGCTAGTTACTGTATATAGGGCCAAGCAGGAATTTTGGGAAATTCTGGGTAACTGGCTCTGCTGGGAGCCCTATTTTCTGTCATGCCTGCCCCCGACATGGCCTCAGAAGCAGGGCTTGTCAGCCAGGGACAGGAGGACTTGGCTCCTTTAACAGAAGAAACTGTAAGTCCTGAGGAGGATACCAGTCAGCAAGAGCCACCTGTGGTCGATCAGGTACTGCGGAGCACAAGTGCATCACCACCAGACTCTCCTCCACCTGTCAACAGGCTCCGAGACCAAAGGTGTCAGGAGCTGAATGAGAGGCGAAAGGCTGCACGCATGCGTGGTCGACGCTCGCTCAGCCCTGAGTTTTGACAGCAGCCTGGACATTGTTTCAGGGAGCTAATGAGATAATGAGCCAGCATGCTATTTCAGCAGACCTGTTGCCTTGAGCAAACCGTGCTGGCAATGTTGATGTCAGGACCAGACACTCTGTGTGACCTTGCTTCAGATCTTGCGGATTCTTCGGTTTTGACTCGGTTGGTGTTTTGGACTTTCGGCATCTGTTTATCTGCTCCTGATTTACGGCGAACTGACCCTTGGTGTTGCCTGACTACGGCTTCAGCTCTGCACTTATCGGACTCAGCGTGATTTATGGACTACAACTCTTGGTATGTTTTGACTGCGGCTGTGTTAAACTGTTTGGGACTTGTTTGAAAGGCTTTTCTGACTGAACTCTCGGCTGACCCCTGGACTGGCTCTCAGACCTGCTTTGCTAACTGTTGCTCACTGGACCTGACCATGACATTCTCACCTGTTCCATACTGTTTCTGTGGACAGGGTTTCCCCCCATCAAATCTGCCTGGTTGTAACTGGCTAGACCACAACTAGTTGACAGAAGTAGGGTGGTTACTCTGGATATGTAGGTGTCAGTAGGGTTCATCAGAATGTCCCCTGAGATATGTGTGTGATAGAGGACGTTCTGGAACAGTACATCACATGCCTTGCAGCTGGGTGCACTGTGAAGGAGTGCCCTTGGTGCTCAGTGGCACCTTTTGAATCTGGTTGTAGCCTTGCAGCACAACAGGGGAGAGGGATGAAGCTGGGCACCTCTCTGTACACATGGCTGTGCAGGTAGTGATAAGCAAGGTTGGCAGAAATGCCAGGAGTTTGGAGCCAAAGTGGATCTGTACAAAAGGCAGACCAAGCCACCCTTCAAAATCATTAGCTTATTGAAACAAACAATGACATCGATCAGTAATTTACATAAGCTGAATATATTTAAATAAATAAATTAGTTGAACCCACACTTGGTTGTATTGTGTCATCTTTTCTGAGGTGCTGGAGCCAACAAAAGGATTACAAGAAATGAAAGTGCCCTCCTGCTTTACATAAACATCTGCAATTCAAAGAACACTTCCCTGGAAGTAAGCCCTATGACTGAATAAACCTGAGTGGGATTCTAGACCTTCTTAGGATTGCTCTCTTATTCTTGCAAACCTTTGTTTTTCAGATCCTATCTGATGAGTTAAGATGGTTATGGACAGAACATTAAACCCCAACGAAACAGAGATAATACAGATACAGGAGGCTGAAGTCTTGGGGGGCTCAGTGCTTCCAAAATGAAATGGGATTCAGATGATCCTTGCTGACTCAGTTAAAAGTCTAGGAGTCATACTGGGACTGGCATGGCACAGGGGTTACAGTTTCAGACTACAACCTGGGACCACTAGGTTCAATTTCCCACTCTGCCACGAAGCTCTCCAGTGCAACCTGGGGCCTGTCACAATCTCTCAGCCTCAGCTATCTCACAAAGTTGTTGTGAGGATAAAGAGGAGGAGACAGCAATGTGATGAGCTGCTTTAGGTCCTCTCAAGAGAGAAAAGCAGGATATAGATTATTAAAAGCATGAAATATATTAGCATTACTGCTGGAGAAGCAAGCTGAAAACATGCTTTCTTCCATCTTTATTTAGCTCAGAGGATGGCTCAGTTGATCTGTCTATGTGGATCCATGCTACGGTCACTTCTAGGCCGGACTATTTTAATGTACTCTACATTGGTCTGCCCTGGAAGACAACTCTGAAATTCCAGGTGGTATAGAACACCACAGCTCAATTCCTATTGAGAACTAGGTGAGAGATCCATATTATACCTATCCTGAAGTCACCCTACTGTTTACTTAGTAGTATCCAGATTCAGTTTGAAGTACTCCTTATCACATACACAGCCTTCATGGCCTAAGACAAGACCGCCTTTCCTGATATGCTCTGCTTTGAAAGCTTCACTCATCTGAGCATAGCCTTCTGAAGGTGCCACCATGCAAACAGGTAAGACTGACAACTGCTCATATTTGATCATCCTCTGTTGTGGTCCCTACCTGGTAGAACTGCCTGCCTGACAAGGACAGGGAGGCTGCCACACTCCTGTCATTTGACAAAATGTGTAAAATAGAATTGCTCACGAGGGTATGAATAAGGATTAAATTGTACACATTTTTTCATTGTGTTAAAGGGCTTTTTCCTTTCATAGCTGAGCCATGGATACTCTGACCATCACAGCTCGGCTGTGATAAGGGACAATGGGGGATTGCTGGGTTCAAGAGGGGAGCTGGCAGGAGATTGTTGCTGCCTCTGCACTACTGAACAGAAAGAGGGAAAGTGGGGCTTAATTAATTTATACCCCACCCTCCCCGCCAAAGCAGGCTCAGGGCGGCTTACAAGGACAACATAGAAACAGTAATAACATAAATAAAACCATCTAAAAACAATTCCAAACATAAAGTGCTAGCGAGTTGTAACTATACATTAAGGATGGCGGCAACGATTACTTTGTTCATCAGTTCTTGATCTTTATCACATATATACAACTGGCATAGATTGTAATTGTGAAGTTGGGTGCCCCTTTAGTAATGATGCTGGAGATAGTTATGGTGCTTCTGCTTTAGAAGTTGAGCTACCTTTTCATGTGTCCATGTGGAAGCAGCTACTGTAACTTCTGCAGTATTAACAAAGTATAACCTGGAGATTCATTAAACCTTTGAATACCAGTTACTGGGGACAAATAGGATATAGCTAGTATCATTATGCCTTGTTTATAAGCTTTCCAGAAGCACATGGCTAGCTTATGGCACTGTTTATTAGGGCAGATCTACATGTGAAATTGGAAGCTCTGCAAATGGAGTTCCTCAGTGTCTTATTCTTTAACAATCATGAGTGGAAAGCTCCTAATTCAACCAGGACCTCAGCATGTAGGGGAAGGGGATTTAAGCTTACTTCTCCTCCTTATCATATAAATGGGCCCAAGACTGAGAGAAGGTGGCAGCTGGGACAATTCCAGGACTCTCCTTTGGTGCACAGAATCAATCAGCTCATCCTGGGACACAATCCTGCCTTTTGATACAGACTTGGACCTTGGACCCCAGAGCCTGCTGCTGAATCAGAGATCCCTCCCCAATTGACCTCTCAGTCCTCTCAAAGCCCTGAACCACCTCAGCCCAGATACAGTATTCACTGGCATAACTGGACACGGCATCTTTAAGTACTGGCAGCCTGCTCCTAAAGGGGATGGGCCTGTATCACCTTCTCCTTATAATAGTATTTAAAACCTTTCACCCTCAGCCTTTTGGTGGAACAACATCCATGCTATATTGTTGAGGCATCAACACCCTGCCTAGACTCCTGGACCTTAGTCTTGAATAGGACACTAGTATGCTGGAAAAGACAGACTATAACCATTTCAGCAAGGTATACTAAATATTCTTAAATGCAGTATTATCACTTTTGCTGCACATACCAGGTTCTAGCCTATTGAGTTCTATAAACGTATTCCCCCCCCACTATGTCCTGTTTTTTACATGGCCCCCAGTTGACGACCAGCATGTTACTTATATGATGTTTCCATATACACTGGCTGCTAAGAAAATCTGCACAAAATTTTTGCTTGGCATTTAATGCACTGCAATTTATGTTATGTTATGGCCACAGAACTTGTAATATTACTTCCAATTTTATTGTGCTTTTAGTGTTGTTATTTATCACTGCTTGGGTGAGTGTTTTTGTTATATTGTAATGGTCTTTGGCCATGTACAATAATTTGGACCGACCTACCTTCAAATGTATTGTAACAATGTGATCTAATAACAGTCAAAGGAAAATTTCAATTAGATGGACATCAGTCTATGAGATTTTACACAAAAACCAGACCTAGAAAGATGCTATATATCAGGAAAAAAGTATTAAGTATTTTTGGAATGGTTAAGATGCACATACCTGTACCATCATCTACATTTTCCACCTCCATCACTTCTGTGTTTATTCTGCCTCGGAATAGATACCGATGTCCATCTGTGGATACTTTGCTGTTCTTCATTCGTCTGTGGAAGGGCGAAGAACCACAGTGGCATCAGGTTAGATCAAATGACTCATGAATTAAGTCAGGTACCTTGCTACAGCACCTTACTTCACAGAAGGAATCCACTGAATAGAACCAAAGTGAAAAAATGAACACCTATTTTCAGCATGACTCAAAACATAATTAGCAATTAATTGTATGCTCCAGATCCCTTATTTTATTCTGTATCCTGTGATAAATACAGTAATTCAGCATTTGTTTATAGCTGAAATTACAGGGTAAAGGGACTATCCTTCAAACAGTTTGCTCCAAATCTTTGTAGTTTTCTTCACACGAGACAGAGCTTCATATTTCAGAAATTAAGTACATGGCCTTGCATTATAGTAGTTTCCTCAGAGTATCAGGAATATTTTAACTATTTATTTATTTGTTTGTTCAATTTATACCCCTCCCTCCTCGCCAAGGCGAGCTCAGGGCAGCTTACATAAAATGCATATATAAAATATAGTTAAAACATACATAAACAATCAGCTGTTCATTTTCCTAAAGTGCTGGATCAGTTAAAGTGCAAGCTTCCTAATTTAGACCATACCACTACTTCGGTGTTAGTCCTGATGGCATTCTCACAATGGCTCAGTTTGGTCAATTAATTTATGCAGCAAGTCAGGCTGTAGGTGGTAAAGCCAGGGAACAGGGTCACTCCTCGATGTTTAAGGCCTGGTGGAAGAGCTCCATTTTACAGGCCCTGAGGAACTGTGAAAAGTCCCGCAGGGCCCTGATCTTCTCTGGGAGCTCATTCCACCAGTATGGAGCCGCCACCGAGAAGGCCCTGGCCCTGGTTATCGTCAGCCTGACATCCTTGGGGCCTGGGAGGGCCAGCCAGTTTTGGGCCCTTGAACACAGTGCTCTCTGGGGATCTTCTAGGGAAAGGTGGTCCCTCAGTTATGCTGGAGTGGAACCTGACCATAAAGGGCTTTGAAGGTCAAAACCAGCACCTTGAAGCGAATCTGGTATGCTATTGGCAGCCAGTGCAATGCTTTCAGCACAGTCTGGATGTGCTCCCACATAGAGAGGCCCATCAACAGCCTGTCCGCAGCATTTTGCACCAGCTGCAGCTTCCGGATTTGGGATAAGGGCAGCCCCAAGTAGAGAGCATTACAGTACTCTAATCTTGAGATGACAGCTGCATGGATCACTGTCGCCAAATTGTTGCATTTGAGGAAGGGAACCAGCTGCCTGATCAACCACAGATGGTAAAAGGCTGACTTGGAAGTGGCTGCTACCTGGGCTTCCATTGTTAAAGAGGCATCCAGTAGCACTCCCAGACTCCTAACCTCTGGCACTGGCACCAACTGTGCCCCATCAAAGGTCGGGAGTGGGATCCCTACCCTTAGGCCACCCCAACTCAGGCACAGGACCTCCGTCTTCGTCGGATTCAGTTTCAGTTGACTAAATCTAAGCCAAACAGCCATGGCTTGTAACGCCCTGTCCAGATCCACATGTTTTACAAAAGTAAGTTTTCAGAGTATCAGGTAATAATGTCTTACCTATGTTTTCTTTTGCAATAGACTAAAAGATTATCAAAAAGAAAAAACACCCGTTCCTGAATATTTCCTGCAGAGATTTTCAACAGGACTCCATACATCAGCATTTCAGTGCATGTGTCTGTGATGTTAGAACCCTATATATACAAACAGAAAAAACAAATGATTGATGTTTACAAATCCAGAAAAAACCTTTTAAAAGCTATTTTCATACAAAATAATTTTCAATTTTATTTTAATTACGTTTTTATTAGTTTTCCAAAACAAACAAACAGTGTTAAATAAAAGGAGCTTGGTTTCTTGTACCACCATGATTCAGTTAGTACTATTTGACTAGCCTAATGTTGATTACATAAGAACATAAGAACATAAGAGACACCAATGTTGAATCAGGCCAAAGGCCCATCCAGCCCAACACTCTGTATCACACAGTGGCCAGAAATACCAGTGCCATCAGGAGGTCCACCACTGGGGCCAGGACATTACCTAGTACATTAATATTATGCAACCCAAAAAGACAGATAATGCATTACTGAGATCATTAAAAAATAATCTAAACATCCTACCATTATTCCCTTTAATTAATGCACAATCAAAGACTCTATTACAGGTTTTCCACGATTATCATTCTGTTCTGGCCCCTAATAAAATTATTTCCTTTTCTATTTGTCCTTTCCGTTATATCTACTGCAAACCATTTATACACATCTGTTTTCCTTCTAACTGGGTATTTCAATATTAGAAAACTTATTAGTTTGGGCCCTTCTATAGTTCAATTCCATCTATGAATATAAAGTTGTAATCAAGCATTTAATGAAATTATTTCCTTTTCCAATGTCCTTGCCAATTCATATCCATTTACTTTCTTATAGCTCCTATTTGACTTGCATTTTCTCCAACTCTTATCCTGTAACTTCATTACTTTAGATTATAACTCAATACAAGTGAAAAACAAAATCCCTATATCTATCTGTCTATTTTTTTTCTAAAGTGTTACCTTTTCTTACCTAATATCTTCTCTCCCTGCGGATCTTATTATATTGTCACTTCCCTTTTCGAATCACATAGATTGTGTTAGACAATCATATATTTAAGTTCATGTTGGTTATGTATTTTGTTTCTCTTTCTTTGTTATTCTTTATGTTTCCACCTCTTAGGCTATTACTCAATTACCATTACTTTTTTTAACAGTTAAATAGCACATAAACAACATATACTGACTTAGTTTATAACAACTTCAGTTTCACTTATTTTTCCCAATTTTTAACTTACAATATCATTACATTTGCCCTGCTACTAAATTTCTCTTAATTTTCTCACTGATTAGTATCAGCTAAAGGTACAAATATTTTCTTGTTTTACATCTCTCTTATTTTCCCTGGCTCTTAACATGGTAGTTCCTCCAATTTAATTTTTCAGCCTTTTAATCTATTCCTGAATTTCCATTAGTTTTCCAAAAATACATAACCCTTAAAAAAAGGAAAGAAAAGAAAAAAACCACATTCTGTCCAAACTTACATCAGTTCAATCTCTCCTATTTCTTCCCGTCTTGACCCAAAACTTCTATGATTTTTACCTATTACTGAATTTCCAATAATTTTCCTACCAATAATAACAACTAAAGAAACACACACTGTCTTTATTTACCACAATTCCCATCACTCTTGTTATCCCAACTCTTAACATAGAACTTCAGTTTAACTGCAATCCAACTTTGGTGAGCCTCTCATGTAGCAGAAATGATAGAAATAGTAGAAATTTTCCAAATCCCTTTGTACAACAATCATAATTTTCTTTCTCTTTTTTTTGTCAGGTATTTTCTCCTCCCTAAAGTCTTATCTTTATGTCTTTTGCCTTTATAAGTCCGATCAATTCAGCTGAGCTCTGAGCAGGAGCAGGAGAGAGAGCTGTGAGAGAGGTGAGTGGGTTTCTTTTACTTGCTTTCAGCTGAGAGAATTCAGCTAAGGATATTTTGTGGGAAAACTGTGTTTAGCAGTGTGTGGAAGCACTTAGAGTTCTTGCAGAGTCCTGGCTGATTGAGTGTGGGAGAGGAACGGGCATTGTTTGACTGGGATTGCCTGTAATTGAGAGGAAGTGGAAGGGGCATTGTTTTGCCTGTGATTGAGTGCCTGAGTGAATTTGAATTTGAATAGCTGCTGCCTGACCTCTGCTGGGGGAGGCCTCTATTTAAGGAAACACCTTGGCAGAGGCAAAAGGGCTCTTTGCCTGTGGCTCTTAGCCTAGGGACTCTTAGACTAGGGGCTCTGTAAATAGCCCAAAAAGAGCCAGGCTCTTTGTCTTTCCCGTAAAATAATTTGACTTGATAACAAAAACCACATAAATACCAAGGGTTTAAAAGAATTATGAAGCCAGAATGCCAGCAGGGGGTTGGGGGCTATCCAGTGTTTTGCACGGAGTGTCACATGTATGACTATCTGCCCACTGGGCAGAAGTCTTGGGTGTGTCCTCGGTGCAAGGAGCTCCTGGTTCTCAGGGAACGTGTGTGCTCCCTTGAGGCCAAGGTGGCTGACCTGGAGAAGCAGAGACAGTCAGCTAGGCACACAGAAAAGACTCTCGGGGACTTGTTAGCTACGTCCCACTCTGGATCTGGCAGCCCCGCTGCTGTCAGGGAGCATGAGGGTCTAGGGGAAACAGGGCACCATGCTGAGGATAAGGGGAATGTGCCCTCAGAAGGGACCTCTTCCCCAGCTGGTGAGCGGCTCTCCTTTTGCACCAAGGAACCATCCCTGAGCAGGGTGGGAGGGGGGCTCTTGGTAGTGGGTGATTCGATCCTTAGGCAGGTAGACAGCTGGGTGGCGAACCCGCGTACTGACCGTATGGTGACTTGCCTGCCTGGTGCGAAGGTAGCGGACATTACGCGTGTTTTAGATAGGCTGGTAGATAGTGCTGGGGAGGAGCCAGTGGTCGTGGTGCATGTCGGCACCAACGATGTGGGGAAATGCAGTCGTGAGGTCCTGGAGGAGAAATTTAGGCTGCTGGGCAGGAAACTTAGGTCCAGGACCTCCAAGGTAGCCTTCTCAGAAGTGTTACCTGTTCCACGCGCAGGGCCGGAGAGACAGGCAGAGATCAGGAGTCTCAATGCGTGGATGAGACGATGGTGTAGGGGGGAAGGGTTCAGGTTTGTTAGGCACTGGGATACTTTTTGGAACAAGAGGGAGCTGTACAGGCGAGACGGTCTCCACTTGTCCCGAGAAGGAACCAGGCTGCTGGCACTTAAAATCAAAAAGGTGGCAGAGCAGCTTTTAAACTGAATATTGGGGGAAAGCCGACAGGAGATGAAAAGTCTCTGGTTCGGGTTGGCTCATCTGAGAGAGGTGAGGGGGTACCGGTTGCTTTTCTACAGGGAGGTGGATTGAAATTGTCCACAGAGGCCATGGCTGGTGACATGGACTGCCGGACAACGACTCGAGATAGCAAGAGGAAGGATGCAGGCTTAACTTGTAAGGGAAATTACAGCTGTTTCTATACAAATGCTAGAAGTGTCCGAGGTAAAATCGGGGAGTTGGAGTGCTTGGTGTCGGAGGGAAAAATAGACATTGTGGGTATTTCTGAAACTTGGTGGGATGAGGAAAATCAGTGGGACACAGTGATTCCCGGTTATATATTATATCGGAAGGATAGGGGGGGAAGGGTTGGAGGTGGGGTAGCTCTGTATGTCAGAGAGGGTATAAAGTCTAGAAAGATTGAGAGGCTAAGTGAATTGGATTCGCTTCTGGAAGTTCTATGGGTTGAAATAGGGGGGCCAAAAGGAAACTTAACACTGGGAGTTTGTTATCGCCCACCAGATCAAAAGATAGAGGAGGATTATAAAATGATGAATGCCTTAAAGATAGCAACTAGACAAAAACACTGTGTAATAATAGGTGATTTTAACTACCCACACATTGATTGGGTCAATATGTGTTCTAGCCGGGAAAAAGAGATTGAGTTTCTAGACACTCTAAATGACTGTGCTATGGAGCAGATGGTCACGGAACCTACCAGGGGAGAGGCGATCCTTGATTTGGTCCTAAGTAACACTCAAGACCTGGTGAGAGATGTAAAAGTGATTGCACCGCTTGGAAACAGTGATCATAATGTTGTTGAGTTCATCATTTGTACAAATAGAGAATTGGCCAAAAAGACTCACACAACCATTTTTAACTTTAAAAGGGGTAATTTCTCTGATATGAGGGGACACGTGGGGAGGAAACTGAAAGGAAAAGTAGAAAGGGTCAAAACAATTGGGGAAGCTTGGGATCTATTTAAAACTACGATCCTAGAAGCTCAAAAAATATATATTCCGCAGGTTAGGAAAGGCACAAACAGGTATAGGAAAAAGCCTGCATGGTTAACAAACAGAGTAATGGAGGCTGTAAAAAGTAAAAAGAATTCCTTTAAGCAGTGGAAAGCTAGTCACAGTGAGGCTGATAAAACGGAACACAGGCTATGGCAAATAAAATGCAAGTCTGAGGTCAGGCAGGCAAAAAGGGAATATGAGGAGCATATAGCAAAAAACGTAAAAACCAACAATAAAACTTTCTTCAAATACATTAGAAACAGGAAACCAGCCAGGGAGGCAGTGGGGCCCTTGGACGACCAAGGGGTAAAAGGAGTATTGAAGGATGATAGGGAAATGGCTGAGAAGCTAAATGCATTTTTTGCCTCCGTCTTCACTGTGGAAGATGAGAAGTGCTTGCCCACTCCAGAACCACTGATTTCAGGAGGGGTGTTGAAAGACCTGAGTCAGATTGAGGTGACGAGAGAGGAGGTCCTAAAACTGATAGACAACTTAAAAACTGAAAAATCACCAGGCCCAGATGGCATACATCCGAGAGTTCTGAAAGAACTCAAATGTGAACTTGTAGATCTCCTGACAAAGATATGTAATCTTTCCTTAAAATCTGCCTCCATTCCTGAGGATTGGAAGGTAGCTAATGTCACTCCCATCTTTAAAAAGGGTTCCAGAGGAGATCCGGGAAATTACAGGCCAGTCAGTCTGACGTCGATACCGGGTAAATTGGTGGAAACCATTATTAAGGAAAGAATTAGTAGGCACATAGATGAACAAAACCTATTGAGGCAGACTCAGCACGGTTTCTGTAAGGGAAGATCTTGTCTCACTAACCTGTTAGTG